ACCTTATATGACCTGTACTTATTGTTAATATTTTGATATTAAAAATATCAATAGATTTTAATTTTTTTTCTTTATTAATAAATAATATAAAAGATAATTTTATTAAAAATATTTTAAAAATATTTTAAAATAAACTAGAATAAAATAATCCCAACTAAAAATATTTTTTATTATAATATTTTGGAATTAAAAATTCATTAGTTGATTTATTTCTTGAAATGAAATCTAATCTACTTTAGAACTACAGAACTGATGCAAGTTGTTTATAACAAACTATATTTGTTAAATTTAAATTTCATAAATTTTAATCTTCTTCTTCAGTTTGTATTCGATTTCAACCTAAAACCTGAATCGATTATCCCAAAAAAAAGAAAAAAAATACTGAATCCGAACGCATCAGACTTTGGATTCGCAAAGATTCAGATTTTTTTTTCTTTCCATGATGGAAGTTGATGTAGTTGTTATCTTCAAAACCCCAACATAAATCTCTGATTTTCTATCCTTTTTTGTCGAGTGGAAGTGAAGTAGGGTCTCGATTTGGTTTTCCGATATTTGATTTGATCGGTGATGAAGAGGTTGAGGGCCGCCGTGCTGTTAGGATTTCTCTCCGTCTTGAGTGGTTGTTTGGTAACGTCGGCGAATGTAATATTGATTGGGAACGACATCACTCTTTGTCTCCGTGACATCGAAGCTGATTTTAGTGAGTATACGTGGTTTTCTTCTGCTCATTTCTTTGGATTTTAGCGTTTTATGTTTGGTTGCTGTGAAAATGGTAGAACGGAAGGAAAATATAAAGCTTTTGTTTTCTATGAACTAAAAACTGGAAATTTCATGGAGCTAACCATTTTTTGATTTTTCCCTTTTGGGTAGTCATTGAGCTGAGCTTGAATAGACGCAACTATCTGATCATGGTATGATATAAGTTAGAAACTAAATTGGGTAATTTATTCTTTTTCATTTTATATCAATCTCAGCGCTCAAGCAGGGTGCTTTTGTTTGATTATTATATGGTGGTTCTTCTAAAGAATGGAAGTTTCCTGGAGTTCGTTGGTAGTTGAAAAGGTTTGAGTATTTGTGTTTTTATTTAGTTGTTATGTTTGTAGATGTCTGGATGTATAATTGAATTCTTGCTTGCTTGCTTTCAATGCTTGTCTGTGAATATGCATTAAGGATTTTTCTTGCGGTTTGGTTGGTGATTGCAGCTCCATCAATCAAAGGGTCTGGAGAGTGTGGGGTGTTATATTTGGCAGAGCCGCTTGATGCATGCTCGGATTTAACTAATCAAATTGAAAATGTTACAAGGTCTAGTTACCCATTTGCATTGGTCATTAGAGGAGGGTGTTGTCCCAAGGAAAAAGTTAGAAAAGTACAAAAGGCAGGATTCAGAGCTGCTATTATCTATGGCAATGAAGATGATGGTGACTTGTTTTCAGGTAATGCCTCTTCCCTTTGAGTAACTTCTATGTACTTTTACCGTTTTTTGTTCTTGTTTTCTGCACTGTGGTTATTGCATTATTGATCATTGAGACATCATGATATAAATCACATAGATATGTTATCCTGAGTTATCTCTTCTCCATATTTACTTTTTGTTTCACTTTTCCTTGATTGAAAATTTTTGTTTAGGTTATAGTTATTGTATGTGTAATCAAAATACTTTGTTAGTCTAATGCCTCTAATTTGAAATCATAAAAAAAAAATGCAGTGCTTGGGGATGCAGCTGGTATCAAGATACATGCTGTATTTATTTCCGAAGCTTCAGGGAAAAAACTCAAAAAGTATGCTGGGCGAACTGACATGAAGCTGTGTTTAATCCCTAACATTGAAAATTCTGCATGGTCGATCATGGCAATCTCATTTATTTCCCTACTTACCATGTCTGCAGTTCTTGGAACATGCCTTTTTGTATGCAGGCATCGCATAAGACAAGAACGTCCCAGATCTTCCAATGTTTGCGATCATGAATTCCATGGAATGAGTAAACGCTTAGTGAAAACAATGCCTAGCCTGAGATTTACTGCTGTCTTAGAGGATAATACTACTTCAAGAACGTGTGCCATATGTCTTGAAGACTACACTTTGGGAGAGAAGCTGAGGATTCTTCCATGTTGTCACAGTAAGTCTTTCTTAGAATGCTGAAGATGATATTGCTTGTCCATTTACTGTTAATTATATGTGCTTCAGTTTTTGTGGCCTGGCAATTTTGGTATGTGCATGTTGTCTTTGTATTCTCTGGTTAACTAACTGCTTGTTTGAAGACATTTACTGCTGGTGGCTGGTCAGTGTCCTTCCTCATATTCTTTTATTTTTTGCTGGAGTGAGATTTTAGTTTCCACTATAGACGAAGTTTTTCCTTTAGTTTAATGTATTTGGATGAGTAGTTGTGGCAAAAAAAAAAAAAAAAAGAGGAAGAAGAAGAACAGAGATGACTTTAGAAATTAGTGATTGTACCTGAAAAAATGCAAGTGTAAATAGATTCATATTTCTTTCTTTTATCATAACTAGATACACTCTCAAATGATCTTTTTGTCCCACCATACTGAAATGGACTTTCAATTTAGTGCATGCGTATGTTTGTTTACAAATCATCTCATTCTCCATTTTAAATTAAAATATTAAGGATTGCCTTGAAATTTAATTTTCACGTTTTTTGCTATGTTGCTCAGGATTCTTGAGACCATGAGACATTGCTGCTCTAGTAAGCAGCATGTTCATATTCAGCCAAAACATAAGCAGGAGGAAATGCAAATGTAGTTTCGTGCTCTTGATTGTATATTAATATGCAATTATACAGCCACGGGAATGAAAGAGGTTTTTGAGTCCAATAGAAGTATATATAGCTTAAGCTGAACTAAAATAAGCAACATTCATTTGTAGATAGTTGTTATAAATAACCTTGGTAGTTTCTTTAATCTGTTGATTTAACTTCAACCAATTAATGTTTTTAATATCCAAATCTGAGTTTTTGCTTCTTGACATTTTAACAGAGTTTCATGCTTTCTGTGTGGATTCTTGGCTTACAACGTGGAGAACCTTTTGCCCAGTCTGTAAGTGTGATGCAAGAACTAGTACAGGTGATCCACCAGCATCAGAAAGTACACCACTGCTGTCATCCAGTCCAGCTTCTGTGGGTTCCTCCGTACTGTCATCTGTTAGATCTTCATTGGCATCATCATCTGCCATACGCATTGCCCCAGCATCATCACGGTCCCCATATGTTTCTCATGTCCATTCTCTTGCAAGCACTCCTTATGTCCAGCAATCTCTTAGGTCCTACCGTCAATCTCCTCCCATCAGTGTTAGCCGAAACCCTATAGATCTTAGGAATGCATCTTCACAAAGATCTCATGCTTCACATTTGGGTTACCCATCTATCTCACCACTAAATGCAAGATACATGTCTCCATATTATCCAAGCCCAAGCAATGCCTCAGCAAGTCTAGTTAGTTCTTCTGGTCGTCAGCTGCATCCACTACATTGTAGTGAGTCAGCTGCAAGTTTTTCTCCTTTTGCATCCGCTCATTCTCTTCCAGAATGTTAACACATAATAAATAGCTAAATTCAGAATGGAATGAACCTGCATACATACACCAAATCATGATTAGCCTGTGTTTGACATCTCTTAGATCGTTGTGCCTTTGATTGGGTTCCTGTTAATACGATTGCTTGCCTTTGTTTTGGTGCTGCCTCATTTGTACATTTTAGCACCATGTCTAGATTGCGAGTTGCTTCCACCTGGTTTGTACATTGTAGGATAAGATTTTTGTTATTTGTCTTGTGTTCCAATGATAGAGCTTTTGAATTGTTTTTCCTAAATGCAAATTGAATGCAACGGCAGTTGGATTTTGCTATTTGAACTCTAACCTTTTAGTTGTGTAGAATCTGCAGCTGAAGATGCAAGTTGTCCTCATCCTATGTTTATGAATTAGCATTCCTCCTCTCTTTTCTCAAATTCTACAATGTTCTTAGTAACGAGCCTGGTAATAAACTTAAAACGTATCAAAAATGTTGTCGGGCTTATATTTTAGACCAACTCAATTCTTATTCTGCTTGAGTATTAACTATAGTTTTTGTTTTGTAGGTTAAATTGTATTAAATTATAAAATCAAGGTCTTTGGAAGGAGGATGGTCTAATATTATGGGTTCTCTCCTAATTTAAGGGTCATTATTTTGTAATTTGGA